GCCCACAATCCCAGCAAGAGCAAAAGTGCGCACAACCACAAGCACTCAGAAGCACACAAACACTCACAAACACTCACAAACGCTCACAAACACTCACAATCACTCACAAACACTCACACAAACACTCACAATCACCCGCAAACACTTACAATCACTCACAAACACTCACAATCACCCACAAACACTCACAAACACTCACAAGCACGCACGCGCTCACTCGCTCACTTGCTCACTCGCTCACTCGCTGACTCGCTCACTCGCCCACTCGCTCTCTCAATCACGCACTCACGCACTCACGCAGTCAGTCACGCAGTCAGTCACGCAGTCAGTCACGCACTCAACGCACGCACGCACTCTCTCACTATCTCACTCTCTCACTCTCTCACTCTCTCACTCTCTCACTCTCTCACTCGCACTCTCTCACTCTCTCAGTCTCTCACTCTCTCTCTCTCTCTCTCTCACACACTCACACACTCACGCACTCACGCACTCACACACTCACACACTCACTCAGTCATCACTCACTCACTCACTCACTCACTCACTCACTCACTCACTCACTCACTCACTCACTCACTCACTCACTCACTCACTCACTCACTCACTCACTCACTCACTCACTCATCACTCTCACTCACTCACTCACTCACTCACTCACTCACTCACTCACTCACTCACTCACTCACTCACTCACTCACTCACTCACTCACTCACTCACTCACTCACTCACTCACTCACTCACTCACTCACTCACTCACTCACTCACTCACTCACACTCACTCACTCACTCACTCACTCACTCACTCACTCAACTCACTCACTCACTCACTCACTCACAAACACACTCACACACTCACAAACACACACGCACTCAAACACGCACTCCCTTCCTCCCTCTCCGCCCTCCCTCCCTCTCTCCCTTCCCGCCGCCAGCTGTTTCTTGCACACTGATTCACGTACGCAGCGTGTGTGCGCACGGACACACAAAGCGCTGAAGTTTTACGTGCGCCTGGGTACTCACAAAAGTAGCTGGAGGTCATCCACAAACAAGCCTCCGGAGTCGCTAACACCCACAACTCCAGACAGAGAGGGAGAGAGAGAGAGAGAGAGAGAGACAGAGAGAGAGAGAGAGAGAGCGCACTAACGCCCACAACAACGCCCACACAAGCTCAGCAAAATGTCCACAGCCACAACCACTAAAATGGTCCAACCCCAACACGTGAGACTTTGTCCATCAACCGGTCAAAGGGTCTCAGATACTCACATGTGAGTGGCGTTCTTGCTGGGCGTTGCGGGCGGTGTTCTCTGAGCGTCGTGGTTTTGATGCGGCTGTTCTTCCTTGCGGGCGCTTGCGGAGAGTTTTGTGCTGTTTGGGCCTGCGGGCGCTTGTGGGCGTTGCAGGCATCTTCCTGGGCTTGTGGGCGTCGGTGTTGCGGGCGTCTTCCGGGAGCGCCGTTGCGCTCTTCCTTGTGTTTGTGGGCAGTTTTGGGGGCTTGTGAGCATGTGGGCGCCGGTCTGTGGCTGGGCTTGTGGGCAGCGTTGTGGGCGCTTGAGGGCGGGCGTCTTATTGGGCAGGCGAGTGGCACCAAGAGAGCTTGGGTTCTGGGCAAATGACACAAGATCTGACCGAATTTGACAGACAGGGACAGGGAAAGCAAAAGGAGCACCCAATCTCCTTGCGGGCCCTCAACAAGACGAGCCGAA